AAACATGAATAATCAAGGACTTAAAATAACTTTGTCTGAAACGATTAACACTGAATATCTCAATATTGGCATACATGTAAACTGACCTGTCTAATTGCCTATTGTCTTTGACTTAACAACCTTTTTTGAAATAAKTGTTTACACAATAGCAAATGTGACATTCCCAAATGAGCAAAACCATCCTCTTTATTTGTAATTTGTAAAAAGTGGGATTTTGTGTTTTTAGAGGAAGATGTCAAGACCAAAAAAACAAGAACTACAATCGACAACAGAGAGAGGGATCATGCTGAAGGTATCTTTCACTATTCTACGTTTTCTTTTACGTAAAGAAACAGACGCCCTAAGAGCGTAAACTGGGTTGCCTGGATTTTTGCATATAGAAACCATGTTGCATCAGGCGTTGTGTTACCACTCGACAAGACAAAATTGACCAGAGATTACACTCAAGCCAAGGAGGTCTATTCTTGTTTGTAAACGGGGCCTCAGCACTAATAATGAGTATAATTTCACTCAGGAACTTTTTATTTACTCAACAATACCAAGACGTTTCTCCAAATTCCTTTACTTATATTATTCAGCGTGTCTTTAATTCGAGTCAGCAAAGCTTCGATTTTTTGACTGAGTTTGATATGGATTTAAGCCATGGAATGCTGAGGAATGCAGTTTTCACACCGCATTCTTGGTATTCCAAGATATAATCATAAGATTGTTGGTGTACTATCCATGAATAGTAATGGTGTCGTGTATCCTGCTTTATTCAAAGATGAATTTTTAGGTGAGACTTTTTAAGAATACATCAAAGCAGCATTTGTTGTTCTACCTCCCTAGTTACTGTTGCTACGTCGGACAAGCTAAAATGTGTTCATGTACGTGGAACAGACACTGATTGCTGAAAATTGTAAATGTCTATCTAAGATTGAATGCATTTTAAAGTTACATTAAGGAAAAAATTGATAACCTACTAAAAAATCTTATGAATACAAGTTTGTTGTTCGGCACGTTCAATATTCCATTGGGAAAACTTTCCATTGTTTGGGTGGACCAAACATAGCCGGGATCAAAGTTTGTACTATTTATATTGAGAAACAGCAGTATTTAAATTATGCATCTGAGTCTTTTCCAATGTTCCACAAACATCAACAAAAATATTATTTGCATGTCAAGATTATTATTTGTATAGGAAATCGCACGATCTCGAGTACAATTTGGAAATTAATAGACACGAGTAATGTTTTGAAAGTTCTTGTAATTGCACGAGCCTTTAGG